ACGGACTTTGAAGTTAGTTTTTTTTTTTTTTTTTTGCTTAGAATCATTCGATCATGTGCTATAGGCTGAATTGATGTGTAATGAATGGTAGGGAGCATTGAGGGAGTTTTGGGAGATGGTGCAAGCTGAATTAGTGGATGGAGAGTTACTACAAGACTGTATTGAAGTGGGGAGTAACGATGTTAAGAGTTTGCTTCAAATAGCGAAAGACATGGCTCTACATTTCTTTTCTTCTCCAAGCCGATCCTCTGATGAGTATGAGTTATAGGCTTATAGCTACAAAAAAAAAAAAATGAAGAGTTTGCACGTACGTCTCTTCTTTTTCTTATAGAAAATCCTTGGCCTTCCTGAGTTGCTTTTCATTTTGTTATGTATCGAATGCGATTCTTTTGGCATGTTGTATAAAACGTAGACTGGCATTAGCTAAAATCCTCTAGGAAATTCTCCAAAACCATTTTGTTCGTTACATCTTTGCTAGATAAGTTAAAGAGACTTAAACCACGGTTTGTTCTTTTATAGTGTGTGTTTAAGAGATTCTTATTAGACTAGTAACTTGGTTTGTTGGTTTGTTCGTTAATAGTTTTATATGTGTTTACGAAATTCATAAAATAGTAACTCAAGGTTTGTTCCTCCTCATTGCATCCATTATAGTTTCATCATTTTATATTACTGAAAAAGTCGAGGTCGTTAGAAAGATCTTTGAAAACACACAAGTCTATCGACATCTAGAGCCATTATAGATATCCAACATTTAGTTTGATTGGTTATATCCCTCCATTCATAGTGAATGAATATTTTATTGATAAAACAACTGAAAACTCTCAGTGTTTTATGGCTCTCATTGCTGGATTTTTGAAGCTAGAAGAGTATCACAGAGTTCATAAATACAACAACCATGTGGTTGGTGAATGGTGGAATAGATCTGAAAACTCAGTGATATTTCTTTCTTTGAACATGTTTGCCTTTTATAACTAATTTTCCCTGTCATAACCAAATCTATTGATGAACGTCATCATCAATTTCTATAGTACCAAAACTTATTAGATTTCTCTTTCTCTCATCTGACTAATCCTTTTGGGGTGTCGCTGCTTGAATCAGAAAGTTTGAATCTTGGTTTCATCAATTTTATTGGGTCCCGAAGTAGATTTTTCTTTTTAAGAAACACTGCAAAGCAGAACAAATGAGAATTTATTACTTTCAACCACTCACATCTAGTTCTTATGGTCATGTTATGATAATCAACTACATCATCATGACATGGAACTCGCTCTCTGTCTTTCATTTAATGTTTACTTCCATCCTAACACATGGCAAATCCTCCACATCGGTCTTTAACCGTTGTTTCTATCAAGCCAGGCTAATCTCAGCCGTTAGATTTGAGTATTGTTGAGTAAGAGGGACCCCTCAGTTCATGTTGCCATGTTTGTACATTATGCTATTTTTATTTCAAGAATTAGTCATTTTGCTTTCTTTCTACATGCATTGTGCTAGCATAACGCAAACAAAGATAAGCTGAGTACTTTTGTTCAAAGAGGCTATTGTCTAGTGGTCGTCAGTGACTATATTGGTCGAGATTAGAGACCAAACTTTGTGATAAAAAAACATTACAGTAAAACATATTGAAAACTGTTTTTAATTAAAACGTGGGAGAATTTGAAGCCATGAAGATGGATTTAAGCTCCACGTTGCTAAAGACTAGTCTTTAAAGTTATAACAAAGAACAGAATAAGAGTGATCGGAGTGTTAGTTGAACACAAGTGTCTTTCGTTTTCATGTCGAGACAAGTTTTGTAACTTTCTCGAGACTTTTACAAAAGTCAATAACTCAAACTCCAAAGCATAGCATTAAAATCGAACCGGTCACGTTGCAAGTTGGTCACAGTAGGGAAAATTTAAACAACATCGACAGAGAGTATTAACTCTACTCCACCTTCTTTCGTTATGGCTCTAAGATCGTGGATCCACCACACTCTAAATTATTTCACATATATATACACACATGCATTTACTCTTCTTTTTACATTTAACACATCCAAACATTAGCGCCGCGTGGACATTTAATGCTTCCTCAACCGTTAAAAACTTTATAAAAAAAACATTTTCTAGTTCACTCCAATTTCTTCAAACTATATTATATAAACCCATTTTTCGTTCCTCACATTATCAAACTATCTCTCTTTTCTCTCCCTTTTGGTAGTTTTGTGTTTAGAAAGAGATGGCGAAAATGTGTTTAATGCTGATTATAGTTGCTTTGGCCATTAACATGGTTGCTAGTGATCCAATTGCACCGTGTTACTTTATATTTGGTGACTCTTTGGTTGATAACGGTAACAATAATCAGCTTAATTCACTAGCTAGAGCCAATTACTTTCCTTATGGTATTGATTTCTCTCTCGGTCCAACCGGTCGGTTTAGCAACGGCAAAACTACTGTCGATGTTATCAGTAAGTCTAACTAACTACATTTTCCTTTGTTTTTTTTTTCCAATCACTAAAACTAATTTCCTCTGTTTCCTTATGGTTAGCTGAGCTTTTGGGTTTCGACGACTACATTACACCGTACGCCGCCGCTAGAGGTGAAGACATTCTCCGTGGAGTCAACTATGCTTCCGCTGCTGCGGGAATCCGAGAAGAAACCGGCAGACAATTGGTAATTTATAATTATTTCAGTAGAGACTAGCTTTCTATTATATGGTTTGTCTCAGTTATTTTCTTTTTTTTTGAATTTGTGACTAAACTAGTATTTTATTTTTGGTTCGGTTTAATTTGGTTTAAGTATAGATCTGGTTTATTTTGGGATAAAAGTCTTCAAGGTATATAAATCAGATTTAATCAAACTCGATTGGTTTGATATCTTTTATGTCAATAAATCTATTTTCAAAACAAAAATCTATACTAATATAGATTTGTATTTAAAAATGAATTATGGCATATTTGGTTCTTTTTTTATACAATTATTTGGTTCAGTTTTGGTACACTAAATTTTGTTTTGCTTTAATTCCATTTGTTAGATAAAATATGGAACCAATAAACCAATTTCGGTTTAAAACATTACAAGATTTGTGTGTATTCGGCTCATGAAAGAAGAAACATCTTGTTCTAAGAGATTCTAAAACATTTACCTTGTGCTGTTTTATGTTCTTCAGGGAGGTAGAATAGCATTTGCAGGACAAGTAGAAAATCACGTGAACACAGTGTCACAAGTAGTAAACATACTCGGTGATGAGAACCAAGCCTCCAGTTACCTCAGCAAATGCATTTACTCTATCGGTTTAGGCAGTAACGATTATCTCAACAACTACTTTATGCCCACTTTCTACTCTACCGGTAACCAGTTCTCTCCCGAATCCTTTAGCGACGATCTCATTGCCCGTTACACTGAGCAACTCCGGGTTCGTTAAACACATCCTTAAGTTCTATATATCATCTGCTTTTTCTGTTTTTTCTCTGAGTGAGGCTGAAGTATTCGTTATGGAGCAGATATTGTATAACAATGGAGCAAGGAAGTTTGCGTTAATAGGAGTCGGTGCCATCGGTTGCAGCCCGAACGAGCTAGCTCAGAACAGTAGAGATGGGAGAACATGTGACGAAAGGATCAACTCTGCCAACAGAATCTTCAACAGCAAGCTCATATCAATGGTCGACACCTTTAACCAAAACACTCCTGATGCTAAGTTCACTTACATCAACGCATACGGCATCTTCCAAGACATCGTTTCAAACCCTGCTCGCTACGGTATGATACCACTCTTCAAAACTGTTATTAAAGTATTATAACATTCTCTTTTTCATGATAATTTGCTAAAATTGTTTGTTTGTGTGTGTAGGGTTTACAGTGACAAATGCAGGGTGTTGTGGAGTTGGGAGGAACAATGGGCAGATAACTTGTCTTCCTGGTCAAGCTCCATGTTTGAATAGGAATGAGTATGTGTTTTGGGATGCGTTTCATCCTGGTGAAGCTGCGAATGTAATCATTGGAACAAGGTCGTTCAGGCGAGAAGCTGCTTCTGATGCTCATCCTTATGATATTCAGCAGCTAGCAACTCTCTAAAGTAGGGAGTGACAGAAAGAGAAGAAACTCGTTGTTTTGCTTGTATAAGTGTTTTGATAGTTCTTCAATGGTAACTGAATTTGGACTCATGAAGAAAAAAGTAATATCAACTTTGGTTTATGTTGTGTGTGATATGATAAATGTTTATGTAACGGTTTGGAGTTACAGGCTTACAGCTTCAACCTTTTATGTTTTGTTTACTCTATTATAAACTTTATTCTTTCATTCCAAATCGAAAATTCTTCTAGCACATTTGTTAAGAGCAATAGATGGACTGAAACTAAGATTCTCATATTGTCAACTTTCTTGTTTCGTTCATATTTGGCCTCTAATGTTGAGAATGAGCTGAAAATAAAGTCCAATTTTGTGTGCTTCCTTTGTTTCCCAGCCATGAAGGATAACTGAGAATCAAAGGATGTCATTCCTACACAAACCTCCTATCATGTTTTCAGAATATATTTATTCTGGATAGAGAAGATATTGAGCTCCCTGGGATTTTCTGGTGTTGCCTTCTGCGGTTAAGTAGTTGGTTATGGTTCTGCAGCTGTTAAAGGGCTACTAATCAAGGTGATAAAATCAATCTTATTGTATTTCAAATTACAATAAAATTCCCATTTCTTTAATGATGTTACATGGTTATTACTTGTTATGGTACCATCGTTGACTTGCTCTAACTGAACCAGTTTTGCTGGAAGTATATGTCCATTGAAAGGAGCTGGGGTTTTTCTTTTATGATCGCAACACAAACATTACTATCGAGTTTTAGTTTTACTCTCTTTTCATTTGTAAAATGGCCATTCTTTCTTTGATTAACAAATATAAATTTAAATCAAAAAAATAAAATAAACCAGTTTTGCTTTGGTTTGTATTCTTGAGGTGGGAAACGGACACTGAAGATTCCTCTGGAACTGGCATATGGTGATCGAGGCGCAGGTTGCAGTGGAGGTAAACGGAGGTGGGAAAGATTGCTAAAAACTTTAGTTGGTTACTGTACATAACTAAATCTTATGTTAGTATTTGATTGATAATTAGTTTGAAACCTAATAAACTTGTTCTGCGTAGGCTCATGTCTTATTCCTCCATCTTTGGGTCTTCTCTTTGATATTGGGTTCATAAGTAAAGCTTGATAGAGCTTTCTGTTCTTTGCCTTTCTGAGCCAATCATCTTGTTTTTTTATCATTCTTGTACAAAACATAATCATTTTCCCCTCCTATGCAATCAGTGAATATTTTCTGACTCTTTCCTAACTTTGTTTAGTTAATGTATACTTTATTCATTACCGAAATCTGAAAATTCAACAAACCACGTACAACCGGAAACCCATATCGTCAAATGTTATTACTCAATTAAAGAAAAAAAAGAAGAGAAAAGTAGCATGAACTTAGACGAATTAGTTGTGTTAAACCAGTATTTTATACACGTACAAAGCTTATAGTCCTCTCCGACAAAAGAAAATGACACGAAGAAAACCAACAAAACAAACAAACCCACGATGTAGTAATGCTTACAGCTACCATTACACAACATTATTTTATAACTTACATTATACACTTACCGGTCCACATTCGACATACAAACATTCTATTTTCGTTCGTTACACACTACGTTTTATTACGGGAACGGGGCACATTTCTTCATATCTGTCTCAACTATATCAACCGCTAATCCTTTTCCGTGATGAACCCAATAATCAGCCATCGGGTTCTTACTCTCCAATCCTACAATGTCACCTCGAGACGTCTTCAAAGACTCCGTCGAGATCCCATACTCATCGTCTCGTTTCTTCAATAGCCCCGGCTTGATCTTCCCCATGTTCACGTCTTGTGGTGACATCATTAGTGCTGGCGCACCTAATGGCAATTTATCTCCTGCATTTACCCGGACAAAAGAAGATCAATAAAAGTACGAGTTGATACAATCTACTCAACAGGTTTCTATTAGATATATACATTCTATATTTCCCATAACGAACTTATATGACGATTTCCTGCCAAATGTCAACTCAAGAATACAAAGAACTAATTAGTTACCACGGTCGGTCTGCCAAGTGCACCAAAACTTTCCATAAGTTTTGGCAATATTTTGAAGTTCTGGCTTAGCTACAAGCTCAGGGACCCTTGGAGTTACTAGAAGACCTGTTTGGATCTACAATAACAAATAATAAAGTCAACCTTTTGCATAAATTAGCATATCAGTCTACGTCAATAATCATAGACGAAATAACCATAGACGAGTGAGTTATTTACACAAAGCATATAGAGAAATTTACCTCATAGTCATGAGAATGCCAAAGCTTCTGCTCTTCCGAGGAGAGGCTATCAAATAACCTCTCGGACACGATATACTCGATCCCTGAGAGATATAGTTACAACAAACAGATACACAATCATAATAAGACATATATCTCTTACAAAGTTATGGGCATGCATGACTCTAGACTATGCAAACCATGCATCTCTTCAAATTCTTGTTTCAGATAAGATACGTCATGCCTATTCAAATTTCGCATGCATATGGAATGGTTCAAATGAACGTGAAACTATTGACTTTCAAAATTAAATTGTTTATTAGGAAAGCATTAGAGAAAATATTAATATATATCGTGTAAACTATGATACGGACCGATGAGGTGGGTTTTAGCAGAGTCGCAGTCGTAAACAGCACACTGAAGAAAGTCTTCGTTGACTCGATGAACATAGAAATGGACTTCGATTTGACGGCTAGGATCGTGACCGTAACACGCAAAGGAACACAAATGAAGACTCATCTGTTTGATTGGTTTCAAAGATTGAAGCATCGCAGCTCCTTTGTCAATCATCATCGTCTTCATCGTAGTTGGATCTCCCGGAGGTATGTTTTCTCCTCCCCCACGTGCCGGATACGGTCCCGGATGCTCATCGCTCGACGCCATTTGATCTGCAGATTGCTATGCATCTTTTCTTTTTGGTTTTATATTGGTGGGATGTAAGTGTGTTGGTGTCATTGTTTGCATGAAGAACATGCAATGTGGACAGCTTGGAGGGACACGTCATCGGAGTTTACTGGTGATGTGGCAAGAATAGGCTAGCTGTGAGATTGAGCTGACACGTGAATGATGTTATTGATGGGGATGAGTCTATGGACACTTTTTTGCCCTTTTAATTCGATTATGACTTATGTTATAAAATGAGACTAGATTTTGACCCGCGCTTTTAAGCGCGGAAACTTTTTATGATTTAAAATTTATATAATTGGATTTTGTTTTAATTTTAAAAATATTTTGATATAAAATCAATTCACCAAAATTTATGGTGATGATTGTTTTTCATTAGTTTTTAGTTTCACCTTTTATTTTTAGATTTTGGTTTTTTGTTTTTAGTTTTTAAGTTTCTAGTTTTCATTTTCAGTTTTTGGTTTGGTTTTTAATTTTCAAACCCGCTGAGTTAGTTGAACTGATATTACCAACAAACAAATATCAAATAATAAAACATCTAATTTAAAACTGAAAAGATGAAAAAAATTTTTTAAAAAAAAAATTGAAATAGTTTATTTTGTAAATAAACAAAGCAAAAAAAAACTAATATGTGTTTTCAGTTTTTGGTTTGGGATTTTAGTTTTTAGATTTGGTTTTTGGTTTTGCTTTACATTTTTTAATCAGTAAATTATTTAAGAAAAATAAAACAATAAATTATTTAAAAGTTACAATTGAAATTTATCAAAGCAAAGTGATTGTTATTTAAAATAGTAAAATATATTAACATGTTTTAAAGTATATGATTTAAGTAAATGATTAATAATAGATAATTTTATTTGTTAAAAATATTAAATACCTTTTGGGTCTGAAAATAATAATTGATTTTTTTGATCTTTTAAGGTGAAAATTTTATTCAATGTTTTTTGGAGTTTTTTTTAATATGAAGCCCAAAAACCAAACTATATAATTTGTTCAAAAAAATAAAAGTAAGCGCAAGACTATATTACATAAATAACCACTGGTTTAATTTAAGTATAATTAGTAGATTTCCATATTCTATATTTTGATGATTTACATATGTGTAGGAGAAAATATGTGTTTTCGGTATACATATAGATATCTGCCTTATTTTGAAGGTAGTTTACATTAAGGTCGTCTTTTATATTAATTGTGTTGGTTTAATTTAAGTAATATGGTTCAATCAATTATATAACTTATATTATTTGTAACATTCTAGAAAGGGTCCAAATTTAAATGACAACTTGTATCAGTAGATAAAAAGAATGACTCTGTTTTAATAGAGTAGATGCTTGAACTAGACTCAAACCTCGTTTTGGTATGTTATCAGCTTCTTCTGTTTTTTTTTTGTTTTTCTGTCAACGTATGTTCTCAGCTTTGTGTATCCAGGTTTTACAATTTAGAATGGGTTACTTGGTGAGTTATGGTTTGACCAATTTGATCAAAACTTAGGTTTAATCATAACTAGATTTTGACCCGCGCTTGAAAAACAAGGAAACTTTTTATGATTAAATATTTATATAATTGGGTTTTGTCTTAATTTAAAAAATGTTTTGGTATAAAATTAGTTTACCAAAATTTCTGGTGATAGTTGTTTTTCATTAGTATTTAATTTCAGTTTTTATTTTTAGATTTTGTTTTAAATTTTGGTTTTTGGTTTTTAGTTTTTAAGTTTCTATTTTTGATTTTCAGCTTTTGATTTGGGTTTTTAATTTTTAGACCCGCTGAGTTAGTTTGAACTGATATTACCAACAAACAAATCTCAATTAATCGAACATGTAATTTAAAACTGAAAAGATGACAAAATAATTTTCTAAAAATTTTGAAATAGTGTATTTTGTAAATAAAAAAAAAAAATATAACATGCGTTTTCAGCTTTTGGTTTTGGATTTTAGTTTTTAGATTTGGTTTTTGGTTTTGCTTTACATTTTTTTTTAATCTGTAAATTATTTAAGAAAAATGAAACAATAAATTATTTAAAAATTACCATTAAAATTTATCAAGATAGAGTGATTGTTATTTAAAATAAACAATATTAACATGTTTTAAAGTACATGATTTAAATAAGTGATTAATAATAGATAATTTTGTTTTGTTGAAAATATTAAATATTTTTGGGCTAAAAAATATTAACATGTTTTAAAGTATATGATTCAAATAAGTGATTAATAATAGATAATTTTGTTTTGTTGAAAATATTAAATATTTTTGGGCCTGAAAATAGTAATTGATTTTTTATCGTGGAAAGTTTATTTAATGTTTTTTGGAGTTTTTCTTTAATACTAAGCCCAAAAAAGCCAAATAATTAAATGTCATAAAAACAAAAGTAAGCCCTAAGCTCTATTCCGTAAATAACCGCCGGTTTAATTTAAGTAATGCGGTTCAATCAACTATATAACTTGTATTATTTGTAACACTCTAGAAAAAGTCCAAATTTAAATTACAACTTGTATCAATAGATAAAAAGAATGATTCTATTTTAATAGAATAGATACTCTTTATGTGAAATTTGAAAATATATTAATTGAAAACTCTATATCATTAGCAGTCAAATTAATAAAATAATTAACAAACCGCGTTTTTCTTTCACTTAATTAAGGTTTAAGAGATCTCCCTTATTTATTATTGTGCTAGATTTTTTCATTTCTATTAGTTAAATATATTTGTCTATTATATAGTATGAGTTATATATGACAAGTGTAAAATGTTAATACCAACTAATCATTGGCAATTTTCAATCTAAATAAATATAGTTTAATTTGTTGAACTTATGTAGTAATTAACGAAAATAAATCAAGTCACGATTTCCAGTAATGTACCATGACAGAAATTTATATGTTTATTTTCATTATTTTTTTTCTATTCTCTACCATCTATATATAATATTTTTCTTAATTTGGGGAGATTAATATAGAATTCACAACGGTAATAATTCAACGTTAAACACCCGTGTTGTCTTGTAGGTCCACCCTTTTTTTTTATTTTTAAAAACACTGCTTTCCCAAACTAGCTTCGGACCGAACCTAAAAACAACCACATGACCGTTACACCAAGCCTAATTTAAATACCACCATCACTCTCTTCTCCTAAAATCTCACAAACTCATCTCCATCTCTCTTTGTTTCTCCAATGGCAACGAAACTCATCATAAAGAAAACAGTGAAACCAATCAACCGTCACCAACGATGCTACCTCCGCCGTCACCGTAAAACTCAAATCGGATGCACATCCCCGGCGGCGACCGCCGTCATCGATTCCATCAACAAATCGATTTACAGATGTCAACGAAGCATTCTCTGCTTATTCTCCCGCGTCGACGGTCGTCCAGGAACCAGAGGATTCAAAATCCTTAAATCTCACGAATCCGCAAACAATCTCCCAAATCAGTATTCTTTGTTTCACGATAGATCTGGTAAACCTTTCGACCAGATGAGGAAGACGATCGTGTTAGATCTTGACGAGACGCTTATTCACTCGTCGATGGAGAAACCTGAAGTTCCGTACGATTTCGTGGTGAAGCCTGAGATCGACGGTCAGATGTTGACGTTCTTCGTGATCAAACGGCCAGGAGTGGATGACTTCTTGAAGAAGATTGGGGAGAAGTATCAGATCGTTGTTTTTACTGCGGGGCTGAGAGAGTACGCTTCTTTGGTGCTGGATCAGTTGGATCCAGAGAGGCGTTTGATCTCGCGGAGCTTTTATAGGGATGCTTGTAGCGAGATTGATGGGAGGTTGGTGAAGGATTTAGGGTTTGTGATGAGAGATTTGAGGCGCGTGGTGATTGTTGATGATAATCCAAATGCTTACGCGCTTCAGCCTGAGAATGCGCTTCCGATTAAACCGTTTTGTGATGATTTGAAGGATGTTGAGCTGAGGAAGCTTGGTGAGTTTTTTGAAGGTGATTGTGAGAAGTGTGAAGACATGAGAGTTGCTTTGAAGGAGTTTGTTGGAAGGGACTAGTGATTTTTTTGGTTAAGTTGATTAGTTTGTATTAGAGGATTTCATTAAGAAGACATTGAACAATAGCTTGGTTTGTTCAGTTGTCTTGTGTGAAACATCTTCATGAAAAACAATTTGTTTATTTGTTTTTGATTAGTGTCTGGTCTGTGGTTGAATTAAGGGGGTTTAATGAAGGTTTATGAAATTTGAGTTATGATGGTTTTTTAAGTTGGTGTCTTTATTAGGCTTTTATCTTAAACCGTAACACACTCTTCTAGTAACGCAATGTAAGCAAAGTGGTATATAAAAAGTTGATACCACAACAATTTCATTTTGTAATTAATATAAAATTAAGATTACGTATTTTGTTGAGAAATGATGGTTGGGACATATCCGGAAATGGACCAGACCACATCAGTCTCGCTTCAGTCCAAGACCAGGCGACAAGCACCTTATCCTTATCCATACCAGGCGGCCAAGACTTGTCATTATCCTCCCTTGTATTTATCCATATGTTGTAGTTATCCTAATCATTATAGGATTAGGATAATCATCCCCTTTA